AAATTGTTTGAGATTGCAGAAGGCTTTGAAAGGTGAAGCCAGAGAATGCGTGAAGTCGTTACTCATCCACCCAAATAATGTGCCAACAATTATAGAACAATTAAAGCTACAATATGGTCGTCCAGAGTTGCTTATTCGATGCCAATTGCAACATATGAAGGAAATTGAGCCCATGGCAGAAAACGCGATCGATAAATTGGTGCCATATTCCATTAAGGTCAGAAATTTAGCAGCATTTTTGGAATCTGCCAATGGTCATCAACATTTGTCGAATCCAACTCTGATGGAGGAGTTAGTCCAGAAGCTGCCAATGAGTAAACGTTTGGATTGGGCCCAGTTTGCTTCAACTTTACCTCAGTTCCCGACTATTTTGGATTTTAGTACCTGGCTCCAGCGTGTTGCTAATTTGGTAAGAAGTGTGCAAATAAGTAGTTCAAGTGGCAGTAGATCTAGCAGTGATCCAAAACGAAAAGTGGTTTTATATGCTTCTGATGGACCAGAACGGCAGTTAAAATGTTTTTATTGTGTTGGCCCACATAAAATATTTGATTGTAAGAAATTTTTAGAATTGAGTGTGCCTAATAGATGGAGTGAAGTGAAGAGATTGATGTTGTGTTTTTCGTGTCTCAGTGGTGGCCATTCAAGTAAAGATTGTCGTCGGCGTAAGCAGTGTCCCATGGAAAAGTGCCAAAGAAATCACAATAAATTATTGCATGAAACTAAACCTAATGAACCAAGTGAACGATCCACAAATGTGCCGCCAACAGAGAGAGCTTCAACAGTCGAGCCAGTGCTTCGTTGTATTTCCAGTGCTAGTGAAAAAAGTGATTTGTTGTCCAGTGCTCCCAGTGGTTCTTTATGGACCAAATTCTGTTATTGAAACTTATGCACTCCTAGATGAAGGTTCATCGGTCACGACGATGGATAGCTCTTTAGTGAGACAGCTTGGACTGCATGGTCGACAAAGTCAATTGAATTTGAGTTGGTATGGTGGTAAATCGGCACAAGAAGCTATCATGGTGGTCGATCTTCATGTGAGCGGTGTTAATAAGAAGAGGAAATATGCTTTGAAAAATGTGTATGGTGTCTCGAATTTGAAGTTGCCTAGTCAGAGTTTGAATGTGGATTTAGTAAAGAATTGTGGTGTTCCTTTATGTGTGGATCCAAAGGTACTAATTGGTTTAGATCATTGCCATTTAGGATTGCCTCATGAATAGTCCCTTTGGAAGATGCTGGTCCATATATATAGATATAGATATATATATATATAATATATATATATATATATATATATATATATATATATATATATATATTAGAATATATATATATATATATATATATATATATATATATATATATTATATATATATATATATATATATCTATTATATATATATATATATATATATATCTATAATATATATATATATATATATATATATATTTAGGTCCTGTTTCCAGATTATGCATTATCACTTTGAGGTACAATTTTATTTGTATTTCAATATCGTAACAAACACAAAATGCATTTACATAATTTTGAATGCTTTCCACAGATACAATTTTTCGGAACGTTAATTAAGATTTTAATATAAATTTAAAAAAATCTAATATTTTCCCAGATATACGAAATTTTTTGCTCCCCACTGAAAGTCCGCCCATTATTCTCTGAATGTTCACATGAATGTAAAAGTTCTTCAATTTTAATTTGAAGATTCTAGCTCTAATAGTTTCTCAGATATACGAATTTTTATACCCACCATCAAAAAAGATGGGGGGTATATTGATTTTGTCATTCCGTTTGTAACACATCGAAATATTGGTCATAGACCCACAAAAGTATATATGTTCTGGGTCCTCATTAAATTCTAAGACGATCTAGCCATGTCTGTCCGTCTGTCTGTCTGTCTGTTGAAAGCACGATAGAGTCCGAATGGAAATGGAAATTTCACATAAATATTTCTTATAGGTAAGGTTTGTTTGGTATTGAAAATGGGTAATATCGGGCCACGTTTTCGGATAGCCCCCATACAAGTGGCTCCTCGAAAAGCAGCTTTCACAGTCATAACTTGTTTAAAAATACGAATATAGCGATGAAATTCGACATAAGTAAGTTTCTTATGATCCAAAATCACTATGCAAAATTTTATGAGGATCGGTCCATAATTGACCCTACCCCCCATATAAGGTCCTCTTCAAATATGACTTTAACGCTCATTACTGGCTTAAAAATACTAGTATATAGATGAAATTCGACATAAGTAAGTTTCATACGAGTCAAATCTATATACAAAATTTTATGAGGATCGGTCCATGATTGACCCTATCCCCCATATAAGGTCCCCTTCAGAAAATGACTGCAACGCTCATTAATGGCTTAAAAATACGAGCGTAGCAATGAAATTCGACACAAATAAATTTAATACGAACCAAACTCTGTCTACCAAATTTTATGAGGATCGACCCATAATTGACCCTACCCCCCTATATAAGGTCCACTTCAGAAAATTACTTTAACGCTTATAACTGGCCTAAAAATACGAGTATATAGATGAAATTCGACATAATTAAGTTTCATTCGAATCAAACGAGGTTTGATGGTGGGTATATAAGATTCGGCATAGCCGAATATAACACTCTTACTTGTTCTATTTAATTTATATGGGGGCTCCAAAATGTTCAGATGAATATTTAAGTTCTTAGTGCAAAATTTGATGAATTTAGTTCAATTAGTTTCCCAGATAAACTAATTTTTGTATTGTATTAATATGGGAGGTGCCGCTCCCCCACTGGTCCGCCAATTTATTTCCCAAAATGTTTACATGGATTTTAAAGTTACTCGTGCAAATTTTTAATATTCTAACTGTAATAGTTTCCAAGATAAATGAATTTTTGTATTTAATTTATATGGAGGGTACCACGCCCCCTAATGCTATTCCGCCCACTTTTTGTCTTAAATAATTATATTGATACTAAAGTTGCTACGAAAAAATTTGAAGACTTTAGCTGTTATATTATCTCAGATATACTAATTTAATATTTTCTTAATATGGGAGTGGAACGTCGCCCACTTGAAATTTCAACATAAAAAGTAGCCTATAGTTCCTTCCAGACATACAGGAAGAAACTGTAAAAATTTCAGGAAAATCGGTCCAGCCGTTTAGCAGTCTTTAAAGTCCAAACAAACAAACAAACAAACATACATACAAACACACTTTCATTTTTATATATATAGATTATTGATTGATTTTCTTAAACCATCATTTGATAGAAAACACTCATAGCTTTCATTTATTTATATCATGAGTTCCAGAAAAGAACACAAAAAAAAACTGACAATTTTTGACCTCATGTATTCCAGTTTTCTTCATATTATCAATATACATCATATGTTTTTTATGTAGAAAATAAAACAACTCCGTTTTTTATTTTGAAAAATTTCAACAGAAGCGAATTTTGTGGCGATTTTAATTTGTTAGAAAATTAAAAAAAAAAAAAAAAAAAAATCAAAAAGGTATAAAACTTTGAAGGTTCATATCTTTGAGAGTTTATACCGGATTTTGTTAATTTAATCAATCTAGTACTATGACTGTTCTCTTTCATTATAATATAACTAGCTATACGCAGTGTGCTTTGCTACCCTTAAAGCAATGTAAGTAAAAAACACTTTACGATTTTGAAAATTCTAACTATAATAGTTTTCAGATATACATTTTTTACATATTGCAGATGCCACTAAAATTATTGCAAGTTCGCTAATTTATCCAAACGTTAATTTAGATTTTAATGTAACTAATGAATAATTTGAATGTTATAATAATTTCCCAGTTATACGAAATTTTGTATTTAATTCATACATAGGAGATGCCAAGATCCCATTGAAAGTCCGCCCATTTTTCCTTAAATGTTCGCATGAATGTCACAGTTTTTAAAGTAAAATTTTTTTTAAATTCATATGGGAGGTTCCAATTTGCTAGTCCGTTAATTTATTACCCAAAGGTTGACATTAGGTTAGGTTAGGTTGATAGGAGGATGTATATATGAGGTTGACATTAATGTCAAATGATTTTTGCTCTTATAGTTTCCCAGACGATTTTTTCTATTTAATTCATACGGGAGGTTCCAACCACCCCTAATGAAAGTCCGCCCATTTTCCCTCAAAATTTAGCTCTAATAGTTTCTCAGATACACGAAATTTTCTTTTTAATTCATATGGGGGGGTGTTCCAAGCCCCCCTAATGAAAGTCCGCCCTTTTTCTCCAAAATGTTTAGATAAATATTAAAGTTCTTCGTGCAAAATTTTAAGAAGCCAGCTCTATTAGTTTCCCAGATAAACGAATTTTTGTATACCCAAAATATTTACATGGATGTTGATGTTCTTCGTGCAAAATTAAGATTTTAACTCTAATAGTTTCCGGACTTCTAGTCCGCACCCGTTTTCATTAAATAATCATATTGACACTAAAGTGTTAAGACACTGTGAAAATTTCAAAAAAATCGGTTTAGCCGTTTAGCCGTCTATAAAGTCCAAACAAAATAAACATACATACATACAAACACACACATATATATATATATATATATATATATATATATAGATAGATAGATAGATAGATAGATAGAGTAAACAAATCGTGTTTTATTCAACATAAAAGCACAACAAAAGTGGTGACGAGGACGGTGAAATAAAAATTATCTGTTTTTTTACAAAATGTCTCAAACAACGATATCCGACGACAAAGTTCTTACACGTTTGGAAGATCAGCAAAACGCTATGCACTACAGCAAATGGCACAATTATTACAGGCACAAGCCACACTAATGGAATCATTGTCATCATTCAATCACTAATGGAATCATTTCAAACTACATTCTGCCAATGAAACCAGTTGACATGTCTCTAAAGGACACTGTTGACAAGATGAACAAACCTTTCGGCAAAGCTGAAACACAAGATTCACAACGCTACAAATGCCTGCAACTTGCAAAAACAGATGATGAGGATTTTAAAAATCGATCAGTTCAAGTGTTTAATTTTTGCATTGGGTCTTAAATCAAGTAAACACACAGATATTCGCGTACGTTTATTTAAAATTTTAAATAAAGTTTCCGAAACAACAAATTTGGATAAACTGGTAGACGAAACACGTATAATGGATTTGAAATCTGATAATATAATGATTGAATACCAAACAAAATCAATTGGATCTGTTAACGAAAAGGAGCACAAATGCACCAAATGTCAACTCGAGGACAACTACTGCTCCAGCTCCAAGACCATTAGAACAAAATCAACACAAAATGACAACAAAGACAAATTCCAAGGGAAATCAAAATTTCGTAAGCATTCAACTGTGACGATCAATAACACTATTCGACTTCAGATAGACACAGCATCGGATATTTCAATAATTTCTTTTGAGACATGGGAAACCATTGGCACACCCGACGCCTATGCTACAAAGGATAGCGCTAGTGATGTAAATACCAACAACATTAATCTCCTAGCTATGTTTGAATGCGATGTAACAATTAATGACGTCACAAAAAGAGTAAGCTGCTATATCACAGATATAGACCAGCTGAATATCATGGGAATCGATTTTATTCAAGCCTTCGATCTCTGGGATAAACCAATATCTACTTGGTGTAGACAAATTAAATTCGATGACGAAATAGCTAGACTTAAGGAAAATTATCAACCCGTTTTTGATAACAGTACTTTGGGACTTATAAGAAACGCAGCAAGACTCGAAATCGAAGCAGGACTACAGAGATTGGAAAATGCAAACATTATTTCTCTTGTGGATACATCAAAGTACGCCGCACCAATTGTGGTCAGTAATTAAAATTTGCGCGGATTATTCTACGGGACTAAACTCAATAGTTGAACCGAATTATTATCCATTACCCACGCCAGAAGAAATTCTGTCCGACTGCAACAATTGTATTATCTTCAGTCATTTGGATTTGTCGGATGCATATCTTCAAGTCGAAGTGGATGATGACACCAAAGAACTGCTCACAATAAACATCCACAGAGATTTATTTAAATTTAATCGTTTAACACCTGGTATAAAATCAGCTCCAGGAGCATTTCAAACGATCATGGACCAACTATGCTCTGGTATAGAAGGCGCCAAGGCTTATTCAAGATTTTAGATTCCGTCTAAAATTTGAAAAATGCAATTTTTCAAAAAGCAAATTACATATCTTGGATAGAATATAAACAGTAATGGTATTCAGCCTGATCCAACAAAGATTACAGCAATTCAAAATTTTAAAACACCGCAAAACATCTCGATAAATCATTATGGCAAATTCGTGAATAACATGCGAAACCTCAGAAAGCCTCTTGATGACCTATTGAAAAAGGAGAACACATTTAATTGGACTTCAGAATGTCAGGAATCATTGGAAAACTTTAAACAAATTTTAACCTCAGATATGTTACTTACACACTACAACCCAGATTTACTGATTCACGTAGCCGCTGATGCATCATTTCACGGTATAGGTGGCGTGATCTATCACACATTTCCTGATAACAGCATGAAGGCAATTCATCACATATCAAGATCTCTCACACCAGCTGAACGTAATTATAGCCACATTGAGAAGGAAGGCTTAGCTCTAATTTTCGCCGTACAACGCTTCCACAAGATGTTGTTTGGACGCAAATTTACGTTGCACACCGATTACAAACTATTCCTCGCAATTTTCGGCTCAAAGAAAGGTATTCCCGTGTACACAGCCAACAGACTACAACGCTGGTCTTTGACTCTGCTAACCTATGACTTCGATATCAAATATACGAACACTAAGGATTTCGGTCATGCGAACGTATTATCCAGAATCATGAGAAACCAACCGGACAACAGGACACATTGCTGCAGAAAGATGTAAGTCAATCGCTCGCAGTTACGTTTATTTGCCTTGTATTGACAAGCAAATTGAAGATTTCATCAAAAAGTGTCAAAACTGTCAATAAGCTCCTGGCCAATAACAACTCGATCGCTCGGACAACGGGGCGCAGTTTTGCTCAGAACAATATCAAAACTGGTGCAAGGAAAGAGCTATAGAATACACAAGAACTGTACGTTTTCATCCCAGATCCAACGGACAAGCGGAAAGATTCGTAGATACCCTAAAACGCGCTCTCAAAAAGGCAGAAGGGGAGGATACACCTACCACATCACTACAAACATTCCTGGAAGTCTATAGATCAACACCTAATCCAAATTCTCCAAATGGTAAGAGTCCTGTGGAATCATTTATAGGTCAGAAAATGAGAACAGTCATCATCAAAAAGCCTAAAGTTACCTAAAGTTAACGTGAAACCAATCAGAAAATGGAGAAACAATATAATACCAAACACGGTACACGAAAGAGAACACACCTCTATGGCGACGAGGTCTACGCTTTAAACTTCCAGGGGAAATCATCGAGAAAATTGGTAACGTAGTTTACAATACCCTGATCTATGTTGGTAATAGAAAAATTCTCGTAAGATCACACACAGACCAACTCCGACCTAGGTATACCGAAAGTGACAACTCATCAGAAAAATCTAATCTACCTTTGTTAATATTGCTTGAAGAATTCAAAATAACTCCACAAGTGCAAGAAGAAACTTTTGCAACACCTACAGCTTCACCATGCCCAACTCCAATGCGTATAACCAGCCGTAGACAACCAGTGGAACCATTTTCAAGATCACCGCAATAGTCTTAAGGAGGGAGATGTTAGGGGGCAACCCTATTATGAGGCATCAACATAACAATGTGGCATCACTATGAAATGCAACGCTGCATGCCTCATTAGCTATAAGTTTTTTATGTACAATTCTTATAACCGTTTTTTTGCAGCAAGTTGTGACATGCTAAAGCAAGCATAACTAAATCAATGAATTAAAGTTTATTTTATTATTACATTAAACAAATCGTATTTTTTTTTTTTTCAATATAAAAGTACAACAGTTTAAAAAAATTCATGAAAGGTAATGTTTTGATCGATCTAAATTAATTAATTTTTAATTATTTGAATTTTTTTATAAAAGAATAGCAAACTAAAATACTTCTATCCGAATTTAAATATTAAAAGAGATCTGATAAGTTATATACATAAGTCTCATTTCATTAAAAATGTCGAATATTTGCAGAAAATGTAAAAAATGGATCTGACAGTTTAAACTTAGGTGGAAAATGTATTGGGCATAAGAGAATCCTATTTTTATTGCATCCTAAAGTATAACAGGTAATTACAATATACATATACATTAGTATGTATGTATGTATGTATGTATGTATGTATGTATGTATGTATGTATGTATGTATGTATGTATGTATGTATGTATGTATGTATGTATGTATGTATGTATGTATGTATGTATGTATGTATGTATGTATGTATGTATGTATGTATGTATGTATGTATGTATGTATGTATGTATGTATGTATGTATGTATGTATGTATGTATGTATGTATGTATGTATGTATGTATGTATGTATGTATGTATGTATGTATGTATGTATGTATGTATGTATGTATGTATGTATGTATGTATGTATGTATGTATGTATGTATGTATGTATGTATGTATGTATGTATATTCCATATTATTCATAATATTATTTTTGTTCATTTCGTTAAAGGAATAATGCGTTCCAAAATAAAACTTTTACAATTTGATGGATTGATCATAAAATTTATGGAGAACTACAAAAATATTTTAAAGCCCAACGTTTTACAATTTTTGGAAGTATGCCAGTCAACAGTTGGAATATTAATACAGATTTCCTGAAAATTATCTTATTACAAGGTAATAATTCTAATTTTTTCATACATATTTTATGTATTAATTTTAATTATTTTTTCAATTATTTCAATAAAAACTATAAAATTTAATTTTATTTAGATTTATTTTAATAGATTTTATGTTGGTGAGTATACAAATAGAAGTAGAGAAAATGTATCTTCTAGAAGAAGAGTAAACTCATCTTCTAGAAGACAAGAATACTCATCTTCTAGAAGAAGAGAATACTCTACTTCTAGAAGAAAAGAAAACTCATCTTCAAAAAGAAGAGAAAACTTCTAGCAGATAAAATAGGAACATTTTTAGAGTTTAAGATAAGAACACTTTTAAATGATACTAAGAAGTCACTCCAAAAAGTGACTTCCTAGTTACATTACTTCCAAGAGTCATCTAGAAGTTTTTTCTGAAGGTCTTCTAGAAGTATCATCCACGTTACGCTTAGACGTCCACCACCTGGGAATATTATATTCCCCGCGGACTAAAAAACTGAAAAAACAACATGGAAAAAAATAGAAAGATACGGTGCAGGGCCTAAATAACCCAGTACCGGCGGCAAGTGTTGATCCACTCGCGAGTCACGTGTCGTCGTCATCCTGCAATCGTGAGCAAAATACTACTACGGGGGTGGGTACCTTGGCCTCCATGGCGGACAATGCGTCAAGTGTACAGCATGCCATTGGAAAAAACATAGGGGTGAAAGAGAGAGCTCTAAGCTACCTCAGCCTTTAAATATAGGTCAAGGTTCCCACTCTGAATCCTCAGATGATAATAACAACATCATTATAGCAAGTCCCAAAAAGGATGAAGTAGAGCAAATGGTGAAAAAAGTGAGTGATAGCATAGCTAAACTACCTATTACTAAGAAAAGACTATCTGGAGCACAGAGGAGGATGTTGAAAAATATGCTTCAGGAAATCATAGTTAGTCAATCCAACGACACTCCAAAGGAAAAATCGGACTCTCTCACAAGATCTGAGGCAAAGAGGATCAGGTCTCTCGAAGAGTTGACAACTGAGAATAAACCTAAGAAGAAAAAGAGCTCCCCTTCATCTAATACACAGTCAAAGCCAAGCCATACTTCACTCAAAGGAACCTCAAGTCAGAATCCTGAGAGTAAGGGTGACAACGCCAAGATAGATATTCCGAAGACAATCACGTCGGCGAAATCAACATCGAAGGTACGGGTATTTCAAAAGAAGTACCGAAAAGCGAGGAAAGAGAGACTAGACAGTGGAAAAGGAAAATAGTGAAGACTGATCTTGCTATGCCTGATAAGGACACCGCAGTGCCATCAATGGTACCCACTGCATCAATGGCTACTTCAGGTTACCAGGAGGAGTCAAATCTAACGAACGGGTATGTGATTGAGGTTATCAAAATAAATCTCCATCGGAGCGAGACTGCTACCAATGCTCTGATGGCTAAAATTAACACAGGTAAGATACATATAGCTTTAATCCAGGAACCTTGGACGATTTGCAACAAGGTTTCTGGATTAAGTCACGTAAATTTCCAACTTTTCTACGCTGATAAAGCGTCTCGACCGAGAACAAGAACTTATGTTTTCTTCTCTCAACAGGATTGTGGCAACATATACCTTGCATCTGTTTACCTGCCTTTCGATTCTCCGACACTACCACCAACGTCGGAGCTGATGAAACTGGTCGAAGAGGCTCAAAGAAAAAATAAGAAAATTGTAATAGGTTGTGATGCCAACTCCTACCATGTAGCTTGGGGTAGTACAAACACCAATCGCAGGGGGCAAGCCCTTATGGATTTCCTTAATACTAAAGACTTGATCACATCGAACTTAGGTAATAAAGCTACCTTTGTCAATAGAATCAGAGAAGAAGTATTAGATATAACTATATGTTCAGAATAGCTTATAAGCGAAATTCAGGATTGGAGAGTTTCGGACGAGCACTCCTTTTCTGACCATCGGTACATAAGATTCAAAATACTACGGCCGCCACCAAAGCCGATAAAGTTTCGGAATAAGTCTAAAACTAATTGGACAATGTTCGGTTCCTT